AACCCAAAACCCAAACCCAAACCCCAAACCCAAACCCAAACCCAAAACCCAAATATGAATAGACTTTACGTATAATTGAGATGAGGGATTTCTTTTCCTTTTATAATAGCACCTGATTAGGTTCCTGGTTCGCTCTATTATTTGATACAAAGAAAGCAGACTATATCTAAATATATTAATAGAAAATGATAGTCTTTTTTCAGCTAGTTTTCATAAAGTACTTTCTACAATTGATGTAAAAGTGTTATTTTTGGTACACTAATTTGTTTACTATTAACTTCACTTTTACATATGAGATTTTCTACAAATTATTCATCAGGCAGAATCATAAAATATAATAACCCAAGATATTTAGGGTTTTATGCCTTTTTAATATCAATTATCTTGATATGAAAAGGGTCAAAATTAATTAATTATTAGTTCAACCTGTAGAATATATTTCAGATTATATAATCCCATAAACCATAGATTAATTTATAGCATTTTGTGACAACCAAATTTTTCACTTACAAGAGTCGGGTTAAAAAGTTTACAAATTATACAACCCTCAAATTTGTAACTCTAAATTTGACTGTATTCAAATCCGCTATATCAAAATCAGAGCTCGAAATTATTATACTCTTATGTAAATCCAAATTTGAAAGTGGCTTTCATATTTGTTAATCTAAGATGGATTGAATTTTTATTTAACAAAACAATCAAAAATTGTCACTTTTATCAGAGAAGACGCCATTACAATTCATAGTAATGAGAAAAGGTGATAGAATTAAATTAAAAAAAATAATTTTGTCTTATCCCTTTCTATTAATTTGCAATTTTCTTTACCTTGTCATTAATTTTGGAATTTGGCTATTTTCGAATTTATAAACACTCTATTAAGATCTATTTAAATACTTTTTAGGATTTCATTAAGCTTAAACTATTTGATAACAGTCTAAAAATTCTTTTAAAAACTCAAATCGTTAATAGGAAAAAAATTTGCTGAAAACATCCGTAAAATTAAGATATTTCCTACTTTTTACTTTTCAAAAGCTTGAGAAATTTGATCCACAACCTCTCAGTATCTATTACGATTTGCATATATAAAGACAAAATACAATAAAACCTGTTTTTGCTTATGATAGTTTGAGTCATTTTCATAGAAATCACTTATTTCTAGCAAATATTACATATCTTCATATGATCCTTTAAATTATTTCTAAGTAGTTCTTATTAATCTTGATAATTTAGGAGCAGTTAGGTAAGCCAGTGATATTTTTATTTAAGGATCTATGTATCATATTTATTCAGACAAATGATGATTTATTGATGATTACAAATGGAAAAATTCCTCCCTTCGAAATTAATATATATTAAATTTCAGACTCTAAGATAATAAAAGCCTAAAAGACATTTTGCTTATCAGAACTTTAAATAAAGTAAGCAATTAAGGTATCATTATTATTCTTTCGCAAATAAATAAAATACTCAACAAAGATTAATTATTAAAGAATAATATTATATTTAGATCGGATCAATTGTTATGATGTTCAAAAACAAATATGCTTTTTTCATTATTTCCAAATTGTAATTTATGTTCTTTAAATGCACAACTTTAGGCTAATTTGATAATAAACCTTTCTAATTTGATATGCAAGGGCTACTGTTGATGTTGTTCTTCACTCTTATCTATATCTTGAGCAACAGGCAATGAAACCTTATCAGCCATTCTTGCTATGGCTTCCATAAATTCTACAAAATTCATTTAGAAGATCCTGTCACTTTCTAATTCATCTATTTATGAAGCAATCGATAAATTGAATGTCTATTATGGCTAATTTTTATACCGAATTTTATTCGTGATTATCATCAAGTTTTGTTGTTTTCACCCAAATTTTCCTCAAATTTTCCAGGTTCATATATTTCTTTTATCCTGATTTGACCTTTTTTACGCAATATTTATAATACACACTATATAGCTTAGGCTTGTAATGTTTTAAACAATAATCACATTATTTATTAAAGTACCTCTCATCTCTCCACTTTTATGCATCAAATTTTTACATGATAGGTCTACATTGATCTAAAAGCAATTATACAGACTCAGCTATGTTGTTTGCTAATTTATGTTCCAAGTATTTAACCATTGAGACTCTCACTAAGAACTCCATAAATTGATATCTACACAATGCTCTTTCAGGGTTTCTATGATTTCTTTCAGTTTCAAATGAAGCAGCACAAGTTGCAATAAATTTAAGATCCAAATCAGAAAGCTTAAATGTTTTATCAAACAATCCTGTTTCGAATGCGAAATCAGAAATTACATTATTTGAAATTGACCAAACTTCTCCAGATGGTGATTTAGATGAATACCATTTATATGTTTCTTTGATCATTTTATAATCTTTCCAAATTAAATTTTTGACTTCATTTAGTTCATCCTAATTTGTTACTAAATTTGATATTTTGCTGTAACTCCAATCATTCTCAAAGCATTTCCTTAAGAATTCTTCATTTTCAAACTGAAAATCCTTAAACCAAATTGAAACTGAAAATGACCAAATTCCTTATTATTACTCTAATACAGGTGGATTTTAAATGTGATCTAAAATTTTCGAAAACTCTGAAGTAAGTGCCTTCATCTCTTCCTTATTCGTTTTATTAAAATCTTTCAATCTCCTTAAAATGTCATCCTCATTAAAACCTTCATTCAACTACACCCATTTTCCATCCTCCTGAACATATGAACCCCCCCAACTAATAATTTTCAAAAAAAGTTACATCAACTCATAAGGAGAATTAAGATTTTTCTTCCAAAAGTATTTCCATTTTCCAATTCTTTAACCATTTTCATATTAACCTTTGAAAAATACTTCATGCTACTTACTAAAATATAAGTATTTTCAATTACTTTCTTATGCATTCAACCCATAATCCAAATTATTTTCCAAAAAACCCTTCCATTGAAGATTGTGCCTTTAATAATACAAGCTATTCACAGTTACTTTTCTTTTCTAAATCATTTCTAAATAAAATCATTATTTACTCAAACCATTTTCCTTCCTAATATTTATTTGACCATGAAAAATAAACATGCACTTTTAAAGATTGTATTATATCTTGAGATTTTGAAATTACTCCATTCAATTTCCTTCCAAATGTATAACCCGTTTATATAATAAAATCCTTTTACAGATCGTAAAGTTCCTACTGCTGGAACATAATCAATAGAATAAAAGTTTCTTCGACTTGCTTAAAAACTTATTAAATGAATTATATTTGAGCCTTATAGCATTATTATGCTATATAAAATAAATATCATAATAATTTGTATCGTAATCCTTTTGTAAAACCATAAATTTCTTTTCCTTTCCAAATCTTATGCCATATATAATAGTTACGCGTGACGTGGAGTTGCCCCTTATGATTCCGGATACCTGTGTGATGCTGGCCCAGGGCTTTTCACATCGTCCAGCTCTTCACTTCCCTCTTTTCCCGTCTCTTCCCTTTCGCTCTCCCTCTCCTCCCTCTCTTCCCTTATCTGACTTCTTTGGGAAAGCCTTTTCCTCCTCATTTGTTCGCCCGTTTTCCTCGTTTTCTTCCCCTCTTTTTCCCTCCCCTTCCCCCCGCGGGGCCTTCCGGTGTTGGCCTCCTCCCCCTCTTCCCCTCGCCCTCCCCCTTGATTCCTCCCCCCCCTTCCGTCCTTTCTTTCCTTCGTTCCTTCTCATCCCTCTCCCTCCTGCCCCCTCAATTGGCCTGGTTTTGTCCCTGTTGCCTGTC